GAGAGAGAGAGAGAGAGAGAGAGAGAGAGAGAGAGTTTTCTATCCACATATCGATACAATGAGTCCAGGGTTCTTTCTGCTGTAGCAAAGAACCGCCACCGTGCTCTTCGAAAATGCTCCCAAAGATGAAAAGAGCGAAGTACAGTGCGTTCGTGCTCTTCTTCTTTAGGCAAGCTTGCGAAGTACTGCAATTCTCTTGGATCAATACTATCCGTTGGTCTACGTAGTGGCACACAAAACTGACATGCAATGTATTTTGCCCTACATCTGCAGGATTGCCATGCTGGACTGACATGTGCTCGTTAGCACCTGCAGCATACGGTAAAATGTTCTCCTCAACCCACTTCTTGTCTTTTCGTTGCCAGCGGTGGGACTCTGTCCGGCTCTCTTTTTGTCACAGGTGTGCATAGCTTACGACCAGAGGAGATTCGGTGTCCAACTGTCCTCCACTGTTGTTATTGGAGCGATGATGGAAGCAATATTGTTCAATTCGGTATTCCAATTATTTAGTGGATGCGAAAGCGTCATCCATCTCCAATGCGTTTTTCCGAACCTCGCCCGCACCCTACGAAAAATCGCGCACATCAGTACGCATGCTAACGAAACGCACACGCAGCTACTGCGGCGGCGTGGTGAAAACTACAGTAGATTCCTTTCATAGGGGCCCCAAGGGCACCCTGAAGAGACTTGGTCGAACCTGCTCGGGGCTTTCCTCCTGCTTGCCCCTGTCTTCGTTGGGTACTGCTGCCACTTCAACTCTACCACACTGGGGCTTAACGCTAGGTTTTCCCCTGCCAGGCATCAAATGGAAGAGAACACAGCATCTCCCCGCAACAACGTTTGGGCAACACACGGACGGGGACTTGTCGAGCTGAACCGTGCTGAGTCGCCGGGCCGGCCTTAACTTTCGCTTCCTGGTTGACATAATTTCGAGACTTCGCTTCACGCATAAACAGCGCAACAGGGAAGAGGGGCGCACTCACTGCTGCTTCGCACTACATGAAATTCTCGGGGCAGTCGGTTTCTTGCATCGTGCCCTCCTCGGCGTACTGCTTCCGCAAGTTGTTGTACTTGCGGCCGTAGTCCTCAGACATGTCGTTGTGGAACTGGTGGTAAATCTTGCCCTTGAAGAACGGGAAAGTCGCCCTGTTCATGACAACACCTTCAAACAAAACACACACATCCGTGTTTCGAGGGTGAGGCGGGATAATGATATCGCGGTCGTGATCGCCGCCTGGCCGTTTCTCTATATCGTCAGGCCCCGACGTGTCACCCGGCACGCCCACCAGAGACCGGTACTCCACTCCTCGGTCCTGGACAAGAAAAACGACACATCATATAGTCAAGAACGGAGTCGAGTGATTGAAGAATACATACTGGAGGGAAACAATTGTCCTGCCTCGTCGGAAACATATCAACAGCGGAGAAAATATCAACACAAGCATATGACACAGAAAACGAGTGCCAGGAACCCGGTGGTTTCCAAACGTCTGTGCAAACTCTACACAGCAAAGCATTTACACCTTACGTGGGTATTTCTGTCAGTCCATCCGCCCGTCTGATCTGAGGGGCCCCCGATCCATCAAAATTCGCCCGGCCCTGTTATTGTATTTTATGGTCATGTCGAAGTAAGCCTTCGAAAACTCGGACAGTTTCGACGTAGGAACTGTCACGGACACGACCTGCCACAGCCACGGCAGCACGTGTCGTTATCGCAAAAGCGGCATATTGACTTGTAACACGCATGGAGAAAAAGCTAGATTACAAAGGCAACTTTCCGCGACCTGATACGAAGAAGAGGGTGGGTGCTCTACCGTTGTAAGTTTCCGCCTCATACCATTAGGTCGCGTCCTAACGTGAAATCTTAAACGCTTGCCGGTTTCTCGGAAGCTCTCGGGGATGTTTGAACGTGTTGTACTATATCACGCTCTTCAACGATGGCATTTCATCAAGATTTGAGCGAGCACCGACGACAGCTGCGCACGATAACGAATAAAACTTTGGTTCAGGCTGCCGAAGCCACGTAGAGGCCTTAACACCGCTGGACTTCCGAAACCTCCCCGGTGAGCTCGGAAACTAATCGTCGCTTCTTCTCGCACGCTCACAATGGTGTCACAAGAAATCAGCTTGCCATCGTTTGTGTACGACACCACGATCTGGACTGAAAAACAATATTGGGCTTTCGGCACTAACTTTGTCTCCCTTCGTTTTCTAGAGTCAATCCGGTGGGTGCTGCTGTTTGCGTGCACACAAATCGCACTCACCTCTCCGGCGTCGGCCTTGCCGTAGTCCCCCATCCCTCGCATGTTGTGGTAGCACAGCTTGTCCCCTAGGAAGCTTCTCTTCGCCCCACCGTAGCCCATGTAGGAAGCCAGCTCCTCGGTGTACCTACAAGGCGACGCCGAGAAAGCAAGGCAGACAGGCGGAAAGTGCACGGGTATCCCGCTCTTGATTGTATGTGTCGGGGCTGAAGCAACCACTTGGGCTAGGGACCCAATAGTTCATGCATTGCGGTGGGGTGTGCACGGGTACCAGGATTGTAAGCGAGCAAGGGCCAGTACTTGCCCAAACGTCTAGCTACACTGCTAACGAAGAAATGGCTGCAAGAAAGAAGAGCTAAACAAACAAGTTACAAGCAACAGAGCCAGCTTTATATTTGGACGTGAAGTATGTAGTATACCACAAACAAAAGTCAGATCGGGGCCAGTCACCAAGGAGACAAACACGTAACATATCACGGGCCTGCCGAGGAGAGCCTGCTCTGCCTTGATCATCTCGCGCTGCACATGCCAGAGGCAGCCGTTCCCCCTGTCTGCAGGCAGGGCGGGGGGATGTATGCCGTCGATTCGTGTTGCGGTCATCATCCGTAGTTCATCCCTCGAACGCGAGTAAGGTTGGGGTCTTGGAACATGCATGGCACGTCTTTGAGTTGGAACCGAACTAGTCCTTCTGTTAAACAAATTTCTTCGTCTGAGCATGCAACACTCAAATAATCACCTAATGCTGTGAATGCGGTCTGGCAACACGCCCCATGCAGTTCCGCGCAGATAACAAAGATACAGCGGCAGTCTCTCGAAAACAAGTGCTACGCAATCGCCGCTACACAATAACTACATGTATAGTTGAGTGGGAAGGTCGACATCCATCGGCGGACTCTGTGTCTTACGATGCCACTTACAGCAATGTCTGCCAGGAGTGGTCGAAACACGTGGGAATCTGACGTTGTTTACCCGTTGTTGCTTAGAAGAAAGCTCGCTGGATAGTAAGAATTGAATACGGGTGAAAGACGTCCTCAGATTTTTGTGGCGTGCTGTTTCGAATATGCACAGCTCAAATCGCGGTATGTACGAGTCAAGGTTGGACGCATTTCCGATTCATACGTTTCATAGCCATAAAACGACACAAAGACTGCCCCCTAACAGCCGTACGTGGATAGCGACACCCTCCGCCCTCCACCTCTTCACGAAACCGGCGGGAACAACAATACGTGTCGTGTGCTTTGTGTACATTCGCTAATCCGAGTGGTGATCGAGTGCAACGTGGCTAACTTTTTTGGAGCCTGCGTAGACTCTGTACAAGTATGTAGTCTTGCTCTCCTTGACTCCTTTCCTCAAGAGACAGGCGTGTCCACAGGGCGGTCGCAACAAGTGCCTCACATCACCACGATACCTGTTGCGAATATACACGCGCTTTTCCCCTTTCTCGATTCCTGCGCAAGACCGGACGGTATCGTACTTGCACATCCGGCGGAACACGGCAGGGCAGCGCGCACATATTCTATCCGCCAGCACCGCCCCGTGTGTTGTTTGTATACCCTACTCCCACTTCATTAAAAGTCCCAACCACCGTCTCTTGGCTTCCCTCTCAAGGCCTCATCTATCTCCACCAAGGAATCCGTCGCTGCTTTCGCGCTCTCCAGCACCGACCGTCCAACTGCAACGCTAGCCGCCGATGTTCCCACGCCGGCTCCAACGATGCCATTCGCTGAGCTGCTGCGCTCGTCAAAAAGTCCCGTCTGGTCGCGCTCGTTGGAGGACCCTTCGGGGCAGCCGTCATCAAAACCTCTGAGCACCCCAGAAGAAGCGCGGCCAGTGCTACCGCAGGGTAGGAGACCAGTCCCGGTCCTGTGGAGTTTGGCATGGCAGGGCAGTGTATGTTGTTGGATTCGCTGGGTCGTGCCGCCAGCCAGATGGCCTTGCAGGGAGGGTGGTCTAGAGAGCGCGCGATGTTGGTTCGGAAACTGAACCTAACCTTTTTGTTGGTCTGTTGGTCACTGATTGGTCCCTGCCTGTGCTGTCTGACGGTCATAGGCCTTTGTTTTACTCGTTTTACATGGTATTCGGGTTCTGTTGACGACTCAATTACCCACGCAAATGCAGAGCAGTGCGGCTCTGCATTACCAAGGTTCTGCGCTAGGTTCGAGGTTCTTGCCACTGATGGATGCTTGATTGTCTTTGCAGATGTCGTCGAGGAAGGGAATGGACAAATAGCTGTTAAGGAAACTTGTTGTTGATTCGTCTCTCGGCGGCTGCTGCACTCGACACAGCTGCATACCAACACTGCTGTTGCTGTTCAACCTATCCATGCACACACATGCTGAACTCAACCGCTGTTTAGATCTCTGCAGTCGAACTGGTACTCAACACATGTCCACTTCACCTTTGCCCGTGCCCGGTTAGCTCTCTCATCTCTGAAATCACGGGGTTGACCCAGAGCCATATTCATGCAAACACACACGTCATCTCGGACAATAGGTAATTCCGCCGCATCTTAACGCCAACACAGCNGCACACACATGCTGAACTCAACCTCTGTCTAGATCTCTGCAGTCGAACTGGTACTCAACACATGCCCACTTCACCTTTGCCCTTGCCCGGTTAGCTCTCTCTTCTCTGAACTCATGGGGTTGACACAAAGCCAACTTCATGCAAACACACACGTCATCTCGGAGAACAGCTAATTCCGCCGCATCTTAACGCCAACACAGCATAAAACGGGGACAAGGTCCAAACAGCCCCTGAAACGAGCCTACTTCGTACCACATTCCCCCACACTGCTTTTTGGCACATTGGGAAATATTCTGGTATCTCCAAAAAGCAATCCAAAAACATGAATTCCTCGAGAAGACAAGAGAAACCGGCGTCCAGTACTATTTCCATACTGAAACTGGTACTACAGTCTCGATCACATCATCAGCTCTAAACCTTGAACAAAATTCCAAACATCAACATTTATCCGTCTCGACTGCCGTGGCAAGACAGTGTTAAGGAGTGTATGGCACAGATAGGGTACACAGTCGGTCTAGATTCAGATGGGGGACGTCAGGAGGTATACCCTCTTAGGACGTACCCCATCGGGACTTAGCTATCTGCGTGCCCCCAGGTTGAGGGCAATCCGCCTCACCTCAGACCTGTAGCAGACCAGCTTTTGCAATAACAAGCAACGTTCCCATCTCAACGTGCTCGTGGACAAGCATGTCTACGGCAGAATCTACATCTACTACATCTAGGAGGCAAGCCACCGTCGGGCGGGCATTCCTTTAAAACAGCAATAATATTCAAAACTCCGTGGAATTCGCTCCATCCTAAGCGGGAACTCGTTTACACTCACGACACAAGCCCTCAGCATTTCATCCCTTCGGGCCCAAGTACCCCCACACAAACCACAATACACGAATCCCAAGAAAATTCTTCATCCTACCGTCTGCCGTTAGGAATCCATTTTATCCCGTGCCGCGCTGCCGTGTTTTGGAAACGACAACCGGCACCAACCCCAAAAATCCCGGCGAAACAACCTTTTTTACCTGACTTGCCAATACCTGATCACTACGAATGTTACTGAACAAAAGCATTGTTGTCCCCGGTAAGACTGACGTCGTACTCACCCCTGAGAAAGGCGGCAACGAGCCCCTGTGACCCCCCTCAATCGGACATGTGACTTTTGAAATCGGCGCTACCCGACGGTGCGCGCCGACCCCCAAAAGGACTCCCAACAACCAATCGCTTCACGTTGTTTTGTCACTCACACCCCAGCTTTATTAAGCTATGACATCCACCCGAGACACATTCATCAACGATCCTTTGGCCAATTTCCTCCCCACGCGTGTCTGATATACGCGCACTCTCCCAACGCAAGGCTAAAGCTGAATTTTCACATAGATACAGCACATTGACAAGGACAAACATAGACACAGCACTTGACAAGGACAACAGCACTTTGACATAGACACAGCACATTTTCAGCTTCAACTTCCTTGCGGAATACTTATTACAGGAGAGCAGACCTGTGACGGTCTTAGGGGAAAAAGAAAAGCCAACGAACCTTGCTGTATTACCTACCCTGGAACTCCGAAGTTCACCAAAGAATGACCACCATGAGAACGATATAATCGCGTTGAAATAGAGCTTCGAAAGCTTCCTGCCCGGAATCGGTGGAACCACAACGAATCATTGACCCCCTATCCTAGAAGTAAAGCACGACGACATTCCCTTCGAGGACTCAAACACTCTTCGCACCCGCAATGACCAAGGCACCAATAAACCAACCAAAAATTTGAATCGAAATTCCTTGAGGCGGGGCAGCCCACAAACTTTTCATCAAAAATTCTCAAGTTTCTACCGAACGCAGGCCATTTTTGAATGGCCTGTGCCTCTCCCCCCCATCCTCCCGAAAAAGGACGGCACGTCGCTACCAAGACCCCAGAGCCAAACAGCAACAACCGACACACCACACCGGAAAAAAAAACATCGTCGGTATCAGAAGGCAACACCAAAGACAAAAAATCCGGAACACACACACAACATCCACAAACAAAAAGATATCGAAGGGCGCCGGCGAGTGAAGTTACGGAAAGCGCCGACGGAGTCGTTTGAAGGTGCTCGAAGCGCCGACGAGGTCGTAGGCAGTCGTACGAAGCGCCGTCTCGCTCTCCCTTCCACCTTGAAATCCTCGAGGTGCCGTCTCGCTCCCCCCCACACAACGAAAATCCCGCAAGGCGCCGACGTGCTCGCCTCTTCCGCCACGAAAATTCTTCGCCGCAGCGCTCCCCATCCACCACGACAAAACCTCCTTCACAGCGCTCCTCGCCCACCACGACGAAATCTCCGCCACAGCGCACCCCTACCACCACGACAAAACCACCACCACAGCGCATCCCGTTCCGTCGGACGCTCCCGGACCGCATGTGCACCAGAAAGCACCATGGGCCAGGCGGACCATCCATCGCCGTACAATATTTCGCCGGCGACGGCGACACGTTGAAACGCCGCTCGAGGTCGACGAAATGGACGTTGCACGGGAGGTCCTCCTCCCGCGCCCTCGAAACCTGATGCACCACCCCCAGCTGCCAGCCCTCCTCCTTCGACCGCACGTAAACATGCGCCCCTTTCATCTCCGCCGACAGGAAGGTCGGACCACGCTCCCATGTAGCCAGTAACGCGTAACCTGGTGGCACATTAAGGGAGTTACGGGAGCGAGCTTGCGCGCGGAGCGCGGCAAGCTTATATTAGTCACAGTGCACTCATTCTTGGCACCTACTTGACGTACTGTACTGCCCACCCAATACCTGTGCACAAAAATACCATACTGCTGGATGTTTGCTTTAGATTCCCGAGCGGGCTGGCGGTGTCTGCGCCAACGCGGGTCGTATTGTATCGCTATGGAACCCCCTGGACCTCTACTGATACGGTGACCGATGATGGCAATCGGCGGTGCCCGCTGCACTTGAAGCTCTATTTCCATTTCGTCAGCGGAGACAGGAAAATGGGGCTAGGTCTGTGAATGCATGCAGCACGTAAGAACAAATGTGCCATAAAAACAAATTCAAACGCCTGACACTCGGCGAGAAATTCAGACAGATCGCCTCCTGCTACTGCTCGACTAGAGCTTGGAAGATGTTTCTTCCAGCCAGGCAAAGGAGCGAGCCCTCAATACACACCGCAGAACTCGCGCTACGACGTTGTTTTTTCACATAAATTTGTTGGATCAGTCATCGTTGTTATCTTTCACCGCCCTCGTCGGCGAGAGTAGGCATATACGCGTCCGACCGGTGAGAACGGGGACAGCCGATAGAGATGCAAGCGGCTAGCGTTAAAAGCTATCGCAGGCGCGGCGCCGTTTGCGTCACTACCTTAAAGATCGGCCAACGGGGAAGCCAACGGCGGGGAACAACTCTCCTCTTCTTCCACTCCGTTGTCACCCAACCGATTTGGTGGGATGGTACCACCATCGCGCGGCTAGGTTTCACCTACGGCGAGTGGATTTGGATTTTCGGTAGTCACTGGAAGCACTAGCAACGCGCTCGATGCTCGCTACGTAACTACCCCCGGAGAAATGGCCTTACAACCGCAGGCGTCGTCTTGAGCGCCGGTTTTCTCACGGCAGCCAAATTCCCGTGATTGTCTTACTACTTTCGATTCGGGTTTCGGCTTCAGATCAGTTTTCGGGCCGGTTTTGAGCCGCAGAAGTCTTCGTAATAGAGCAAGATGGGATTCCACGGATCAAGCGGACAGCCCCCTCTTCTCTATCGCCTACGACTCCAGGACACAAGACCTGGTCGGCTAAGCAAATTACACTCAACCTCGTACTGTGCACTCGGTCTGTCGGACTCGGAGTCGGCTCGGGTTTCGGAGCTACACAACCTGGTAGCTTCGCCGGTGTTTTACTACTGTCCGACAAAGTAGGTGGGGAACTACAGTGGACGGCTCCCCGCCCCTCTCAGCACTAAAAGGTCGGATATCACCAGACGTGTCAGACGGCGGTAGTGACGGTTTCCGCCCGTCCCCACCACCGTAAGGTTCCGACGGTTCCGTCACCAAGAGGCGGAAACTCTCGGTGTCGACTTCCTATTTTCCAGAGTAAGAAGGGTGTCTCACCTATACCATCTTGGAATCGGATCGCGGAACGCCCAAACGCCGGCGGATACACGTCCTCGTATGGAGCGGGCGGTATCAATCTCCTCGCGGGCACGGCGCATGGCAGCAGGACGGGCTGCGGCGACAACACCGAGCTGTGCACCAGCGGGGTGACCGCGTGGAGACGACGCACGTGGCGAAGAGTCGTACTGCAACCGGCAAGATGGGTAAAGCCCCCGTGACGACCCGGACGGGCCAATCCCAGGAGATTCGGTAGGCGAGGGAGAAGAGGGACGGGCAATGGGCGTGCCCAAGGAAAAGGGCCTACTAGAACGAGAGGCTCACACGCGACAAGTCACGCAGCCGGAAACAACCGAATTGCGATTACACATTGCTATGACGCAGACGCGAAAGACTACAGCGGTACGTCAAACCAAAAGCAAACAACAACCAAAAACGCAACGGATCTCGCACCCAGGGAAGAAACAAGCGCCGAGGACGCCAATGTTATACTTTGTATTCGGGTTTTCTGTTGATGATCCAATTACCCAATCGAATGCAGAGCAGTGCGGCTCTGCATTACCAAGGTTCTGCGCTAGGTTCGAGGTTCTTGCCTCTTATGAATGCTCGATTGTCTTTGCGGATGTCGTCGAGGAAGGGAATGGACAGATGGCTGTTAAGGGAACTTGTTGTTGATTTGTCTCTCGGCGGCTGCTGCACTCGACACAGCTATTCGATATACTCGTAGCATAGCATGGGGGGGGGGGG